TTTGAAGATTTTACCACTTGAAGCCTCTCTAAGTGTTAAAATGAATTAGTCTGACACATTTGATTTACTCTTTAGTTTCTATGGTTGTAACCCGTAGACATATGCTGTCTGTGACTAAACCCTCTTCCACACCTTGCATTAAAATGCATATTTGGTGATCGGATTGTAATTGTATCCCATTGCAATGTGGCCCACATAAAGATACAGGTGTAAACGCGTTCAAGACGGATTATGATCCGAACAGCCAAACCAGCTCCGGATATGGTCAGGGAAGCATTGAACACAATGCAATGCTTTTTCAACCCACACACAACAACTACATGGATGAAAATACTTAACGCGATGTCCGGTTGTCTGACCTGGACAGAGCAATCGGATCTCAATGTGGACACGGGAGAAGCATATCAATACCAGGTGTAAATGTAATCTGTTCATATCATATTAAGATATAATCTGGATATGAGACACATTTTAGTGGGATGTGTAAAGGGGGTCAAAGGGTTGCATGTGGACCTCGCTTTGTTATAATGAGCCAAATGCCAAAAATGCTCTACTCATACTATTTGCCCCTAAAGACGTCCACGCTGAGTATCAGGGATAGTATTCCTACAATTTGTTGCCCTGGCCTCAAAAACAGGGTTTGTCCCCACTGGGCCCGCAACACAGGGATTATCGGGATTAATAAAGTCTAATTTAAATCAAATATATTTAGACATATCACTTCAGCTATGTCGTCATCGGGTGGATAACCCTAACCCCATTAGTGGTAAACTTTAGGATATAAACAGCACAAGCAGAGACGACAGAAGGGCAGGAGGCTACAAACTGAACAAGGAACGAGGGGATCTTTCCGGGGCATTTGAAGGGAATAGGTGCGAAAGGCTGCTGGGAAACAAATGTAATTTAAATGTCTGCATATTCCCTAACCATCCTAAAGGGTGGAGTCACCCATCCACTCAGTGTGCAGTGTTTCCTGGAAGTTGCGGTAAAGGGTAATGAGCACACACTCATGCACTGTAAAATACCAGTAGGTTTGGGACTTAACCCTGTCTCCATGGCAATTGCTGCAATGATGACAAATTTGCTGTTTCACTAAACAAAATGACTAAATATTCTGGAGCATTAACTGCTGTCTCATTGCTGTGTGTTTTAGTGACATGGTCGTTACATGTGTAACTCAGAAGGGACACGTTTACACAGGGGGATATTTTGCACCGTGTTTCCTCACAGACAGAATAATACTGAATTGGTTTGTCAGAATTTGTATTTGCAGTCTGTGGGTTCAAACTGTAAGTCAGCAAAGTACTTCAGTAGACTCTGCAAATCTTGAAATGTTTATTTGCAAGGGTACCTGCACCATACGGCTCATTCTCCTGAGGATGAGTCATCCACAGGCTACATACAGTACATTTGAGGTGGGCTTTGGATAAGCTCCTGGAGGAGAATGTAGAGGGGCAAAGAACACTGCTGAGCCATCACAGCTGTACTGATTTTCTGTCACATTGTCTCACAACAGGAGACATTACCTGGTAAAGGAAACTGTAAATCTCACCCATCCCCCCACTATAACCACCGCACAAGGTGCTGTCATCAGTCAGCCGTGTATTGATAAGGGGAGCCAGGTATTCGCTGCCACAATGTTTTCATCGCAACATTTGTTTGCCGAGTTAAATGTAGAACATGAATAATATTCCTGCAAACAAACAGCGAGGATGTCAAACACACACGTAACTAAATATACAGGTATTCAGATACAATTCTGTTTCTGCAAAATAATCCGTTTGGTAACATTTGACTGAGATTAATGAACACAGCGTGCCACCCGGTTTTCTCTGATGTCTCCTCCTTTTTGTATACAGACAGTATACGTATAATGTCCTCTGAGGTAAGATGTTTGTTGTTGCCTCAGATCGACAGGGCTTCATTTTTTTTTTTTTCAAAGTCAACCAATCAACAACCAACTTCTTTGTAATATATATATTTTTAACAGACAAACATGGGCACTCGTTCACTAAAAAAATGTAAATTAATCAGCTGATTCAATAATAGATTCCGTGTTTCGTCCATGAAGTGTCATAAAATAGTACGAAACACCCATCACAATCATCTTGGGCTCTCACAAAAAGCCCACAAAGATCAACGGAAAGTTGTTGCAGATTTTCTGATGACCGACTAATCAATTAATCAAGTTATTGTTTCTGCACTCGTTGACATTTCTGTAAAGGTGTAAGTTATCAAGGCTTACCGTATCCAGAATCACTTTGTTTGACCTTCTTTCAAGTTGAAATATCTCCTCACAATGTGCGATCCAATTTCATGGACAATACACTTAATTTTTTATTTATACTTATGTCGATTCCTTTGCTTCCCACTGTCGGATGTACTGGACACAAAATGTACATGGTGTAAACAACAATCTTCTTGGCCCTGCTTTACATACCAAATTCAGGGTGCATACCAGGAATTTCCATAACCCACATTTAAATATTTGCATCAAGCATCACGGGACAGGACGATGAGCAAAAGCAACTCTTCGCTTGTGCTTCGCTTATGATGCTGTATTTTTCGACTGCAAATTGAAATACATTGAATTTTCCATTTTTTTCCTTTTGATCTTCTTTTTTTAAATCTTCTTTTCTTGTTTAATTGAATTATCCACAAATACATGTGTCCCCCAAAAAAGATGAGCAGAGGAGGATGACCATAGTAGATGACCAAAATACCAAGGCTGCTCTTGACGAGTATTTTAAGCACTATTTGAAATATTAATCCTCATTTTTCAGCGTGTTTGCATCAACATGAGACACAGTAAGCTGACGACGTATAGGTGACACCTCATTTTAGGCTAAGAGGTAAAACAAAAGTAGAGAAGAGACACTTTTAGTAGTCAGGGGACAGACAGTGTTGGCGTTCAGCTCTCCACGAGTTATTCCACTGCGACATGTTGATGCCAGGTCATCTAAGTCGACGAGGAACAAAAAGTTTGCAGCTGTGATGTGCTGCCTTGTGGGAGTCATTGTAAGGAGGGATCAAATGCTTACATTTGTGTGTGGTAATCTCTCCATGGCCATGCACAAACATAAAGGCTCTTTTCAAAAACTGGATTTACCAAAACACTCATTTCTTGAGTCAGAATTATATTACGGTCAAATTGAATTGCATCAGTGCTTTGTGTGCTTGTCTGTGTGATGGTATCTGCAGGTGTGGCAGGTTGAATATTGCTTCAAATGCAGATGTTTCCTCTACGTGTAGACTCTTTGTATTCAGCAGCCTCACCTTTTGTGTTTACATGCACTCATCTCTGACTCTGCATGGAGGTCAATAAAGGTTATTATCTCTGTAATCAGAAGCAGCAATACAAATAAACTTCAATTGTAAGTGACTCGGCGATGATAATAGCTACATACAACAACATAATGAGAATGAATTAAAAGTACTCCGACTTGAGGGTGAAATGCCGTTAAAGTCACGTGATCTTTGTTTAACAATACAAAAATAGAGTTAACTGTGTGACGCATTTGCACAGGGGTGTTTTTTACTAAAAAATCACAACACATAGCATGTAATGTCTCTCAGGGAGGCAAGATAAAACAATGGGTCCGACATGATCTGAGATTCTACCTGCAGTTGCTAAGCAACACCCACCTCCAACCTCTCAATCTGTCCCATTGGTCAGCAGGAAAAACGCACAAGGAGCCCCATTGGCTAAGAGAAAGTTAATAAACTTTAGCCAAGACCTGCCTCCTTGTGTGCGCACACACTCTCTCCCTTTCTCTCCCCCTCTCTCTCTCTCTCTCTCACACACACACACACACACACACACACACACACACACACACACACAC